AACTCGTGGTAACTCGTTATATTATAGTAAAAACTATATTGATTTTTAGGGTAACTCGTGGGTAACTCGTTGGTAACTCGTTGGTAACTCGTGCAAAGTACATTCATACTTATATATACTCGAATTTGGAAGAAACTATTCAAAGCAAACAATGTAAGATCTCTGACGGATCCGAAATAGCCCTGACCGTAAACTTCATGTAAAGCATGTTAAAGTAGCAGCATATATAAATTAAAAACAACAACAAAACCTGCAGGAAATCGGAAGCGTTGCAAATGTAAATCATTCTTATTTTGTTTGAACTTCAACTTTCTACGTAAGAATTCTTTGTGTCATTGATAAAGTTGAGTTTTCTGTTTCGTAAGTACGACGTTCATTTTGTTTGACCAAATTTATCAATTATCGTCTTTTAAGATGCTGTAAAGTCTGTATAACAAACGCTTTGTTTACATATTTTTGAACTGCTATATTTGTAAGACATGTTAATATACTAACTGAATATCTAACACTTTTCTGGTTCGCTATGCTTGTAAATTATATAAACTCCACGCAGGCCCGTAGCTGAGGGGGGGCTTGGGGGGCATTGGCCCCCACTCGGTGGGGCAGTGCCCCCCAGTGCCCCCACTCCGAAATTTGGTACGAAAAATTGAGATAAAGGACCTGGAAACCAATTGTAATCATGGGACAAATTCTGTAAATGTTGTGGTAAATTTTGTGATGTTTCGAAAAATTTTGTTAGGTTTCGGAAAAATTTGGTCTGTCTGGAAGAAATTGGTATGTCCGGAAAAAAATTTTGACCCCTAAAATGGTACACTGACCGAAATTTTTTTGGCGACGGGGGGGGGCGGGGGGGGGAGGTCGCCAAAATAAATTCCGGAAAAAAATTTTTCTCATCTCAAACCGTCTGTTACATTCTTTCTGCAGTGCCCCCCCCCCAGAAATTGAGAGCCAGCTACAGGCTTGACTCCACGTTTCAGTTCGGAAATTTAGAAAGACGCAAAATTTTGGCAATGTTTATATGTGCGGGTCCCCCTTGTTATGAGCAGATCTGATGCACAGAACGGGCTTTACAGCATCTTTAAATTAATCTAATAATTCAAAGTTATTGATTTGGGATTTATCTTGAACCTTTCTATTTTTATTCAAATTGCAAAACTGATAAGCTTCTGCAAGAAGGACGTACAATTTCTTTCTTGCCATGATCAAAAAACTCAAAGAATAATCAATATAAACAGTTTCAGTGCACAGTAGCCCCCCCTCCCCGACTCCCTCCCCCCTCCCCCTTCATACCAGTTTCTTACAAAACCCAAACTGTTTGTTTTTCTTAAGTTACTTGTAGACTAAGCTAAATGCACAAAAGAACATAATGTCAAAAAATAAAAAAGACCGAGTTCCCTTTCCCAATTTTTCTTAAATTTCAGACAATCCTTCACAAAAATTATGAGACTACCCATGTGAAAGTATAATTTCCTCTCCCCCTCCCCCCTACAGAGCAATGTTGCTCGTGATTGAGTTGAAATTGTGTAGCACAATGCTTGCAATAACAGTCTACATTGTTTTGAAAGGGAAGGGAGGGGGGTGGGAGGAAGGACGAGCTACTGAGGGTAAGAATTTGCTAATTTTACAGATCAATAATTTTTGTGAAGGATTGTAGATTGCTAACGCATACCTAGCGCAGGCGGGGACTACATGATAAATCCAAGATGGCGGTACAACACGGCAAAAAGACTATAGATTCTATTACGAAAATCAGGTTTTTGCATTTTTTGCCGTCGCATTGTTTCGAAACTTATTCGGTCAAATTTTATGGTAAAGAGAAACTTACCGCGAAGATTTTGAGCATATATATGATTGAATTGGATGAAAAATCGCAAAATTATCCAGCGATGAAAGTTCGTGTGAAATGGTCAGTTGGTCAGTTGGAGCGTTTTATTGCCAGAAATACTGTGCTATGTTAACATCTAGCCTTGTGAATTGTGTTTTATACTTGCATCTCTCATCATCATCTGCTCTGTCCTCATAATTATGAAAAATGAACTGTTACATAGACCCCCCCCCCCTGCTTGTTCGAGAAGTAAACTGATGAGAGCACTGGATGAGGGTCTATCATCTATGGTCTGGTATAATTTGCTTTTTATGCAAACAGTGAGCAAAAATTAAAGCAAAACTGTACAAGTTACATACTATAGTACTATATCAGTACTATACACGAACTTTTATCGATGGATAATTTTGCGTGTTTTCGTCCAATTCAATCATATATATGCTCAAAATCTTCGCGGTAAGTTTCTCTTTACCATAAAATTTGACCGAATAAGTTTCAAAACAATGCGACGGCAAAAAATGCAAAAATCCTGATTTTCGTAATAGAATTTATAGTCTTTTTGCCCTGTTGTACCGCCATCTTGGATTTATCATGTAGGCCCCGCCTGCGCTAGGTATTCGTTAGCAATCTAGGTCTCCTATATCTATGTGTAGATCAGTCGTTTGAACCATTAATAGGTTTACAAAGCTCACTCAAAAGCTGCTAGAAATTACCAATGATTAAATTATAGTTTATATTATACAGACTATAGATTACTTAGTATGGACTATTTAGTTAAACAGAGGACACATATTGATATAAGGCTATGACTATACCCCAAGATGGCGGAATTGTAAACACGTGCGTTTTGGCGTCTGCGTTTATAGAATGAATATTTGCTAATTTATCGATACAGATTGACCAGGTATTATTGAAATATACTAGATAAAAGTTAAAAGAAAGCTTCGCATCGATCAAAGTCTGACGAAATAATATATTTTATACGAAAACCAGCGAATTTTAAAGAAATATGGTTGAACACGCTAAAGCCATTTCATCGATCGACCCATATGTCGAATAAGGTAAATTTGACATCGGCCGTTATCAAGTTGACAGCTTTAAAGGCACGAATATGAAACGTGTACCTCTCGAGCAATTAGATTTCTCAATTTACAACTCAAATGCAAATCTCCTAGCTTTTTCTTCGACCGAAGAAAAACTGCCCATATGGATCATAGTAATACATTTGCACTACAAACATGCATGGCTTCCTTAATGACGGCAAAATAATCACCAACTGGGAAGAAGAAAACAACCCGAATGATCCCGCGTAATGTGACAAAGTAACAATCACCCTGAGATCCCAGGCAAACGAAAAAAATATAATCAGTATCACTGTTATGGTCAACAAAGGAAGAATTCAAATACAAGGTCGCTTTATGAAAGCAAGAGTGGGGTAGTGAAGAATTCCCCATATTAATCGAACTGATCAATAACCCAGACCTTATGAAAAGCAACCCAGCAAAAAATCTTAACAATTTTACTGATAAAACACTTTGTCAGAGAACCACCAACCAACAAACCCCAGCGACTTCTCGTAAACCTGATCATAATCATCCTATTCCTTTGGATAGCAGCATTGTCGAAAACTGTCGTAATTTAGAATTAGTATTTATGTTCACGCGTGGGACGCGCGAGTCCAAACTTTATACACTTCGGAAAGTTCCGGATTATACCGGTGGTTGTTGTTTTTTCCAGGAGAGAACTTAAAAACATGTGGCTGTGAAACTTGTGATTTTGTAATAGATATTATACTGTGTTTTGTTGTGAATTATTTTGGGCGATACTTGGAGGCAATCCCCAACAGCATACACCATTCACCTAAAGAAAGACCTTTGATTAATTCTGTTAAGACCAATTTGGCAACCCTTGAGGCAGACTTCGTGGAGTTTAAACAAAATACGAACAAAACCATCACAGAACTAAGCACAACTATATTCGAGAAAGATATACAAATTTAAAATTTGGAATATGAGATTACCAACCAAAAGACAGGCCGGGTAGGGTAATGCGGGGCAAAATGAGACACTCCGACTCATTCGCGCTTATATGACGTTCTGTTTAATTATTTATACCATAATCATCGCAGGCTCATTACAAACATTTTGCTTGTATACTTCGTTGAAAACACTAAACAGCGTTTTCTCTTTTCGTTCTATTTGCTCGGCAACAACGAGAAAATAACGATTTTTTAAACCGGCCAATTTGGATGATCTAAACTAAGTAATATATATTTGTCCAGTGTGATGCTGTTCAATTCACTTTTTACTGTGCTCTACCTTATTGTCAATCAGTCAAATACTATCTTGGATCATTACCAGTATTATCTGTGTTATAATGAAGTCCTCGATTTCTGACTTAATACCACTTTCTCCTCCTTGGGAAAGTTAAAAGGGTTATATTTCTGATTGAATCAATATGTACTTTTATTCTATAATTTATCATTAAGTTCATAGTCATATATTTTATGCTATAAACAGCTTTAGTCCATATCACAAATCAAATTAATTAACTTTCATTTTATTTAGGATGGTCAGGAACTATGTACGCAATACTCACGTGCAAACTGGAATGAGGATTAAATCCGTCTTGCCATCTCTGCAGTTGAGAAGAAAGAACTGTCAATACGAAAGCTGCAAATGCCTACGGGGACCAAAGGATGTATTAAATCGCCAAGTCAATGGTAGGCTAAAAAATTTATCACTTTGTGGTGAACTTTGGTCAAAGTCAATGCCTGGTGAGGATTGAATGACTTTTTCACAATGCAAACAATGGTGTCACAAAGCATGCTGTGCTGTTACCGCAGCCAGTGTGACCTGTGTGTGTGACATTGAACTTCAAAATGATTTGAAACATGTATTTTATAATTAGTTCTAATGTTCTATTAAAATATGTATGATTATATTGACTTTATTTTTAATTTTTTAGCCCTGTCTCATTTTGCCCCACTGTGCTGGGGCAAAATGAGACAGTTACCTTTGCTAGGTTTTTCCCGATTTATCACAAATAAATTATTTCAAACTTTTTTTTTCTTTACATATCTTGCTGTGAGTCAACCTCACAAACCCAAGTCAAAAATAAAATTCAAATTGCTATGTCTTCCATTCTACAACAATAAATGCCCTTAAGTGTCTCAATGCATCATAAATGTAAATCCCTTGAGGAGAAAAACTCAATGTTACTAGGTAAACTGGCAGCGTTAAACGAGAGTATTAAAAGCCGAATTAATGATCACGTTACAATCGAATCAGATTTACCTGCATCGGGTGCCGACATCCCAACTTCAAACAAATTCCTGTCCCTCTCAGATGAATCCATCATTGAAGAACCTTCACACAAATCCTCCTCAAAACAGCACTCAGTTTCATCGAACCCAAACAATGCAAAGAATGAAGCTGATACAATCTTAATTTGCGATAGTAATGGCCGACATCTAAACCCACCATTATTATCCCCAACAGCAAAACAAGCTGTACGTACTCGATGTGCCACCCTTGTGCGGGCAAAATCAATAATAAATAGTACTACATATACCTCACCTAAATCCTTCATTATCGATACTGGAACAAATGACTTAGAGCACTCAGATACAAATGAGGCACTCATAAAGAATGCAATTGGCACCGTGGAACTTATCCAAACTAAGCACCCAGAATCCCACATAATTTTTTCGTTCATTCTCACAAGAAATGATGAATTAGACAAGAGGGGAATGACCTTAAACAATTGTTTGGAGAAATTATTATCTACGAAGAAAAATTTCACCTTTGTCAGACACTCCAACATCAACTCCAAATACCACCTGAAAGACAAGAAACATCTCAATGATCGCTCAGAGCCTGAAGCGCGCATACTTTAGGAAACCAGACAAACCAAGAAAGAATTTTCAGATCCCCTATAACCGACCCTTCTTCCCTTTTAATCCTCACCCCCAGTCTACTCCTTTTCATCATCCTCACTCTAAACCAGCAAGTTTTCCTCAGCAAAGTTCTAACCAAAAACGTCCGTTTAACCATTATCAATATCCATCGATATACCATCAACAAACGATCCCAAAACTGACAACACTCTTCTGGAACCAAGAAGCAAGACTTGGAAATGATAAAAGAAAACAAGAAATACCAATACAACTGATACAACTAATCAAAAGGACCTTCATAGGTATGTTAATTAACAATTCGTATATCAGAAGAAAGATATTTAATAGTTAGAAGACAATTGTGCAACACTTGAGTATAATGAACTTAATTATCTTCTATATACTTTTTTTTCTTCTAATTATTGCATTGAAATTTTGATAACTTAATATTTAGTATATCAGAAAATGCCTGGTCACTCTATAGATAACTTGCTTATTTTTTTTCTTTATAAATGTCTACAAACTTATCATTCATTACCTGGAACATCCATGGTATTTCAAATATTGTCCTTGGTGAGAAAACTAAAAACAAGGACTTCATTGACCATATTAATTAATAATATAGATTTCATTTTCCTGACTGAAACTTGGTGTAACTCAAATATAGATGCTCCTGGTTTCAAGTCTTTTGTCTCTGATACTGCAAAGCTTCATACCAAGCGGGCATGTCGCAAATCAGGTAGTGTCACTCTACTAACCAAAACCAAATTCGAAAAATTTACTTCAATTGTTAAAAAGTCAAAAAATGTTCTATGGTGTAAAATATCAAAAGATGTGTTAAATGCCAAAAATGATTTATCTGTATGCGGGGGGGACATTCCACCATATTTTGAAAAAAATGAAAATTTTGATGAATTAGAAAATGATATTATACAATTTTCATCAAAAGGAAACATAATGATCCTTGGTGATTTTAATGCTAGAACTAACACACTCGAAGACTTCATCTCTAAAGATGGCAACAATTTTATCATGACACTAGTAAAAATTGCTTGCAACCATAAAACAGATTAAATTTTGACAACCAAATTAATAACCATGGTAAACAGTTAATTAATCTATGTAAAAACTGTGACATGAAAATTCTAAACGAACGCACAAAAGGCGACAACCTCGTAAATCTTGCGAATTATTAAGTTCAAAATACTTGCTTAATTTTTGTTTATTTTCTTTGTTTTGAATTTACAAGAACATTCTTGCATTTTTACTAACAGTCAAGTCAAGAAAACCAAGCAAATCGTTACTCGCAGTGCTCTCTCGTGTTGTTATTCAATCATTGCTCTCTTCACGCTCGAGCGCGGTTATAACAAACGTTTATTGTAATGTTTTTAAAATACGTCATTACATTATTTTGTCCTTTCTTGCAAACGTTGACACGCTCTGCACCGATTTACTTGTTACTATGCGTCTTGTTTATAAGAATTTTAAAAGAAACTGTATTGTCTAGGACTGGCCCAATATTAGCAAATGTAAACATTTGATAATGGCCGAACAGAGAAATGTCCATAAGCATAGAGGAAATTTCAGTCATCTTTAAAATTTTGGATTTAGCTAGTACATAATTCGTATTCGGTAATTATAGTAAGACTTTGGCCTTTTTCTTGGTCATAATATTTTGTTAATATACTATAATCTATATCACAAATTTACAGTGTCAGATGCGTACAGAGTCATTGGCATACGAATAGACATAAATTTTCGAGTTTTCTACCTCTACTAACATTTTTAAAGTTTTCATTGCGAATCACTTGTTTATTCTTTAATTAATTAATCATTTGATACTTATATTTATTTGACAGTGTCATATAGTGATAATACGTTTACACACAAGCAATCCTGGATATGATATATTATAGACGATGCAAGCTGTCCATTAAAAATAACGGTATTCTATTTCACAAAGCAAAAATTTAAATCTCACTTGTATTATTAAAAATGTATATAAAGCAAAAAATTAAAGCTTATTCATGTCAAAACGAAAGCTGTTTACAAAATTTATAAATGTGGTGAAAACTACTAAACAGTGCTCATTGAAAGACATGTATAATACAGTATAGTGACATATTGTCGATTGACTTATCTTTGGTGTATGATTTTAATACCGTAGAGTTTCAACAGACAGTTATACTTTGACATATACCATGATCGTTGGTTTCAGCAATGCTAAGGGCCAATTTTATAGTCTTTTGACGGGCTTTAAGTGTTTTTTTTAATAAGGCCTTTACATCAACAATCTGGATACAGTTGGCGACATTTCGGAAATCAAAAGATCTCGCTATTTCGTTGCAATACCACATCTCATCAATAAATAAACTCTTTTGGTCCGAGTATCAGGAGAGACTTTAATACTAAATCAATAACGACCATATTGTTCGGTCTAGAGATATATATTTTCTTGTTGGTTTAATATTGTCACGCTGCACAAGCGACAATTAAGCGTGCTTTCTTTGGCAAGTCTATAATTTGAATATTGAGATCTGATCCAACTTGCTTGAATTGTAACTTGACACCAGATTTATAGAGTAGAAACTAGAAATTCACGATGTAAATATTAATTTAATGAAGAGTTCTCTTCACGCTTTCTTGTTGCAAATTTACAGTAGGCCTAAATTTCATCACTTAAAGTTGCAATTTTAAAACACTACAAACACGCTCCTCTCCCACCCTACCCATAGTATAATTTTAATTTACCTCCCAGAATCTGGGAGGCACGTGACCAGCCGCAACCAGGGTCTCTTCCAAAGCACAGAAGGAGAGACCCTGGGAACGAGGTTGAAAAGGGGATTCCTTTGGACGAGCTACTTTCCATGGTAATAATGGTATAAGTGTAGTTGATTACATCATATGTGATCAAGAATTATTTAGAAATACTAACAATTTTGCTGTGTTGGTGTAATGTACTCAGGTGAATAAGATGCTTGTGTGATGTTACTCTGAGAAATATCGCATACTCGAACCGACCTGACCGCGTAGCTCAGTTGGCAGAGCATTGGGCTAGTATTCCAAAGGTCGTAGGTTCGAATCCCACCGTGGACAGGCATATTTCTCAAGCCTGCCCGATGTGGGTATACACTCAGAGTAACATCACACAAGCAACTAACAATTTTGTTGTGAAACCACCAACATACCTATCTAACCATAGTCAAATTGTTACATGTTACAAATACATTTAGGATAACCACTCTAAAAATATCTTTAGAGAATCATTAAGATCAACCTCGTCCCCAGGGCCTTTTCAGGAAGGAGGCGAAGGGCAGCAAAGGCCCTGGTAAAGGCTGGTGAAATAATCCACAAATTGTGGATTATTTTGTCACGTGATATATCGGAGCAAATACTATACAGGGGGGTGCGATCGCGGATCGCTTTAGCTACAATATATTCGTCAATATTGCATAAACACCGAAATCGACAAATAAAGAACAAAAATCTATTTTAAAATGAAAAAATCTGTTAAAGTTCTTCCAAAAATATTGAATAAATCTGAAATTGTCTTCAAATTAGCTCTGAGAACCTTGGTTGAACTGTAAGGAGATCTATTAAATAGACAAAGCAACAGTGCAAAACAAATGGATCGATAGAAGTATTTATACTATGAATTACTGTCGCAAGGAAATTGCTGCCTCGATTGTGAAACAGATATGTAAAATCACTTTAATTTAATAATATGGACTCTCAATACACCATATCCATGATCATCAAAACATTTAACAGTTATTGTTGCTACAATAGATCTTCCTTGCAAATGTCAATATCATACAGTATATTTATAAACAGTTAAAGGGAGTACAAGGCCCAAAGAATGTCTGAAAAACAAGGAATGTCAACATCGTATGCACTTGGAATTTAAATGCTTATGATAGCCATATGCCCTGAGTATAACCTGGTTGACCGCCATGGTTAATTAACATTTCCTGAATTTAATTGAGTTGAAATATTTTATTTGATTTTCATTCTTATCCCAAGAACATTGTGAACACACATATAGTGCTTTGGGTTTAGATTTCAAAGGCCAAGCTTCACAACAAATGTTGTGATCTTAATGATCAGGCATTCCCAAACGATTACATGCATGAGGGTCAAATCGGACAGAAAGCCTCCATATGCTTTATCAAGGCTGAATAATATAATGAGAGGGAATTAATTTCCTCATTATACTGTTAACAAGCCCTTGTTTTTGTTTGTAATCAATTACACAAATTACTTCCCAGAACATTATTTAAGGAGATTATTTGACAAGTCAGCAGGTACATTTTTTCCTGAGCCACAATTGGGGCAATTCAGTGTCACTCATCACAACAGGCGCTCAAAATCACTCACAACATACAACAGGCAGTTCAGCATCACTCACCACAATTGACTGTTCAATACTGTGTGCCTCAGTAGGCAAATCATTAATCAATATTTTGCTCAGATCAACAACAAATATCAAAATTGAACTCATTCTCAAAACATGATACAATAACAAGGGGTCTCTTATGGACAAATACAAGACACCTGGTGTCAAATGTATCAAGTGACAAGATTATTCATCTCTTTTAATTTAAATACATTTTGCCGCCTTGTAATAAAGTACTATTTGTTGTTGGTGACCATCAGTTGAGCAATTTAAAACATTCGCAGTGTATGCTTTATCAGACCTAAAGATACTTGGCTTCACCTCGTATCTTTATACCTGATACAACTATAGTACATAAAATAATAACTATGATATTTAGCCTGAATATTATTATAAATGTATAAAGGATATTATACATATATTCTTGATGCTCAACATTATCCGATAATCATTTAACATGAAATCCGATAATCATTTAACTATTGAGAATTGTGTGAATTCCTGAATTACTTATTGTTACAGACTGTACTGACCTCTTGCAATTATGGTTATTAACCAAAATCTGACAATGTCTCTAGTTAACCCATCGAGCTGCAATGTGCCC